ATCATGTGCTGTTCCTTCCACATTCTGTACACAAGATGGACTACACTCACTGAATGAGCAACTATTCTCATTGTTCAGCATGTGGGTGCCAGCAGTAGTAGGTTGTCATCCCCCTCTGTGGACCATCACAAGTCAGGGGTGAGCTTTGTGGATAAGAGCTGACCACAGGTGAACATCGAGACTGGAACTATACATTCCATTCCTCCCCAAATGACCGTCAAGGGAAAGTCCCTGGGGATAGTCAAGCACTTCCCCTGCCTCAATAGCCACCTCTCTTATAGAGTGAACTTTGAGAAGATCCAGCCCAGAATCTGATGCACAAGTGCCTCCTTTGGGAAATTGCTTTGGTGTATCTGTATTGATTATCTTCTCCAGAAAGATACCAAGATCTAGGTCTACAATGCAGTCGTCATCCCCACTCCCCTGTGCATATGTGAAACATGGGTGACCTACCACTGTCATCTCAAGAACCTGGAGAGGTATTACCAATGATGCCTCCAGAAAATCCTCCACATCAGATGGGAAGATCTCTGCACAAATGCCAGCATCATTGCTGAAGCCAGTGTTGTCAGCATTGAGTCTGTGTTCCTCAAGCACCAACTTGGCTGGACCAGTCATTGTGTGCAGATGTCTAACTTAGCTCTCAAGCCAAGTGCTCTGCTCCCAACTTACTAATCGACTGAGATTTTTGCAGTACCCAGAGGAAAACTCTACAAGGACACGTTGAAGGCATACCTCAAGAAATCAGATGCTGACATCAAAGAGTTGGGAGGAGCTGGCTGATGACTGACTCCAGTGGCACTGGAACCTCAACCAAGTGGCAACCCATTTCAAGGTAAAGCGTCTTGCCCTTGAAGCAGAGAAGAGACAGCGGAGGAAGGAAAAGGAAAGGAATCCCAGTCTACAGCCTGCTCTTTCCTGTGGAAAGGCCTGCAACTTCTGTGGGCAGATATGTGACCCAAGGATTGGACTCTCAAGCCACTTAAAGACCCGTCAATGAACTGTGATAGAGATCATCCTTGAATCAAGGGCTTGCTGACATCTAGGCTCTGAGGGCAGTGTGCTCTCTTTGGGAACATGCAGGCCCCTTTGCCAGGCCTGTCTGTCCTCTGCCAGCTCCTCATTTTAGTCTCCAAGTTGCCAAGCCAGTTTGCCTGGCTTCTTCTCCAGTTGGTCCGTCTTCCCCGGCCCTCCTCAACTTGTTCCTAGTTTCTCTTGATAGTGACTTGGCTCAAGCAGTCAAATTTCCTCCTTCCTCCTCTTTTATTCCACTGAAAGAATATCATGTCACATCATAACATTTAGAATTTGTCCTCACCACCAAGACCACAGGGCTTACCTCCAAGCGTGGTGGGTTTCCTGAGACGGGCATCAGGACAGGGGCAGTTTCCTGTCAGTACAGTTCCTTCGGGATTCAGCTGTACCTGGCTCCTTGTGATGGCTGTGTATCAGCTGATGCAGAATCATCTTCAAACTCACTTCCATGGAACCAAAGGGAATTCCTCTCTCCCTCTTCCCTGCCCTGCCCAGCCTTCTGCACTCTAGTACAGTCCCAGACTTTGTTGGGAGGCTTCTGGATAGTCCGTACATGGGAGGAGAGATCACAGTCAATGGAAGCTGAGCCTCTCTTGCACATACAAGAGACTCCCCTCTATGCATCCTTGGTTAGGCAGCAAGGTATGGGCTTGGCCACTGGATCTATACAATGGCTCTGTTTTCAGATTGCCTGAGGTGTTTTGACTTTGTTATTTGGTTTTAAACTGTTGCACGAAGTGTCTTGGAAAGGAGACGCTGCTGACAGCGGTAATGTTTTCATGTTTGGATTGTTCTATATGGCAGGTTTCCACCCCAGAGTTTGCCTTGTAAATCTGACAAATCTTCATGTTCTAGGGGAGGCAGAGATACCAGGTTTGGGGATAAAGGAGTGACTGATTTGAATCCCAAAGTAATCAAGTCATCAGCTGTCTTTGTTTTACTAACAGCAGCCAAGTTGTGAGGCATAATTAGGTTAATGGTTCCTGGCTCCAGCTGTGTGTCTCACTCTGCAGAACAAAGGCAGCTCAACTGAGATTTTATAATACAGTATACTCTTCCCTTCCACCCCCCAGCTCCCACTTCTATTGCATTAAGGAAGGTTACTTCAATGGGCTTGAGTTTTAATGATTGAGATACAAATGGACATTGATGCCCTTCAGAGCTGGACGCACACAGTTCCCCTTGCCTGGGTTGTATGCACGCAGAACAGGAGCACGTACAGTGAGGGGATATTTGAATTGCTCACTCATGCCAGCAGACCTGTGGTGTGTGCTCTGGGAATTGGACTCTGAGGTTCCCATGGCAATTTTCACAGGACAACACATAGGCTCCAGGACTTCCCTCCCCATTCTTCTGCAGTGAGCTGTGCTCCGTTTGTCTGCATGCTCCTGCCATCTTCTCTACGTCAAGCAATATAGTTTGCAAAGTGCTTTAGGTGCCCTTGTCATGAAAGGAAGTATAGAAATGTGGAATTGTCTGGATCAGTGGTGTACCGACTGGGCACTTGGCGCAAAACTCTCTGTGTCTACCGGGACCTATTGGACTGAAAGATAAATGGAGCAGGGCAGAGCCCTGAACTGGTATCTGACGGGGCAGTGAAACATGATGGGACCCAGCCTGGCCTGGCTAGTGTGGTGTATGTGGAGGCAGAGCCTTGGGGAGGGAGTATAGCAGGGAGGGACTGATGGGGCACTCAGGCCTGAGTCTACGATGGGGGCGATGCCCAAAGAACCTGGGGTGAGTGAGTAGCTTTCCATCACCAGCATTTTGGATGCCTACATTGGCCTCTGCCCAGGGTTACCAGCTCTTGCAATTTTACCACGGTATTTTGTGCTTTCTTAAAGCCTCCATTCCTATAGTCACATAATTCCATGAGGATCTGTTTCCGTGGTTTAAAAGAAAAGTGCATTTCTACCCTCATGGTTACAGAGAAAGTTTTGATAAGTAAATCCCCAGGGCTCCACACCAGAGGCACACGAAGAGAAACCCAAATGCATTTGTTTAAAGAAAAGAATCTCCTGCCTTTGGAGCTGCCTCATGATGCAGGGCATTGGCAGCACAGCCATCCTGTTGCCTTGTTGCCTGGAGCTTTGAAAGGGGAGGGGAGCTGTAGCATGCTGTTGCCTCCTCACCGGCCTGTAGTGATGGATGTGAGCCAGATTACCCTGACTTTGACCCTAAATGAAACGGTTAAAGTTGGAGCAGTTTTGTTGCCCTTGTAACAACTGCAAAATCGTGCAGTTGTTACAGTTGCGTTGTAACTGCTTGTACCTGTATCCTGTGGCAGCAGTGCATTGTCGCGTCTCTGTATGCTGTGTGTGAGTTGGGAGGATGCACATTTCCTAATTTATCGATAGCAGTAAAATCACAAGTAGGCACTCAGTGTGAGCACACTTGCCAAGCTGGTTTCCCGGTTGGTTGCCTATTTCCCCTCTTGTAAACCTGTAAGCACTTGGACCAGACTGGGATGGGACCACATCTAGCCTTTCTATAAGAGGTGCCTTCTGTTAGCCACCCGTCATTGAGCTAAATGCAGAAATCCCTGGAAAAAATGGTATAGCCTGTATTGGAAGTTAAATTAGATACCATCCTGGCCTTTTAAAGTCAATGTACAAATGTTCCAACTGAAATGAAAAAAACCTCTGGTTCTTCTGGTCTGGGGTGGCCACATGTGCCACAAGTGACATGGAAGACATGTATATGGCAAGTGGCAGACTGGAGGGGACAGGCAGCCAACACAGCAGCAGATAGAGCAGGGAGCAGAAACTGGAACAGCAAATCATAAAATCGTAGAAAGTTAGGATTGAAAGGGACTTCAGGAGGTGATTTAATCCAACCCCCTGCTCAAAGCAAGACCTAATATCTAATATAAGCTTCCCTTAGTGCAACTTGAGACCATTGCTCCTTGTTCTTTTACATGCCACCACTGAGAACAGTTTAGTTCAAGGATTGGCACATGTGCCAGTGCATGGCATGTGAGGCCATTTTCGTTGGCACACCACAGCTGACCTGGACTCCAGGCAGCTTCTGCCAGCAGCTGCCCAGAGCCTGGGCTAGCTGCAACCAGGAGGCTGCAGCACCAGCAGCAGTTCTGTGGCTGCGTCAGCTGTGCATGCACCTCTGGTTGCATGGTCAGGAAGGGACCTGGGGCAGCACAACCCTAGATTCTCTCACACCATCTGCCCAGAGGCGCGTGCACAACTGCCAGGAAGCCAGTGCTGGGGCTGGGGAGCCTAGCACAGCTGTTTGCAGCCTCCCAGCTGCCTGCTACAGCAGCCCAGAAAACAGGGAGAAAACAGAGCAGCAAATTGTGTAGAGGCAGGGAACAGAAAGCAGAGCGTATGGTATGGCAGGTGAAGAGGGTGGGAGTGACACTTGGGAAGAGTGTGGAGCTAATTTGTGGCAAAAAACTAGACCCCCCGCTGCTCTAGTCCATCCGCTTACCCCAAGGTAAGATTGTTTCCTGTGTGGTTCCTATGTGCCTTTTCTAACATTTGAAGTTGTGTTACCTCCTGTAAGTCTTAAAAAATCAGGAATCTGTTGCAAAAGACACTTACTTACCCATTGTAAGCCTGTTTCCATCAAATATTAGGCTGCTGTCTTCTTACAGAGTTTGGCAGAAAAAATTAGCTGGATGTAGTCCAAGTTTCTGAATTTTCAGAAAATTTTACTTTAAGATGTGCTGATTGGGTGGGTGCTAGAAATCTTAAATCTGTTGATTGAACATTGTTTACTAGACAAACTGAATTAATCACCTGCCCAAAATGCCAGTTGAAGTTTATTGATAATGTTTATTAACTTGTCCTAATTGAGGTTGTTTCTTGATTGCAGCAGAAGTAATGACATGAATGTTTTTGAAAACTATAGTTTAAACTTGGGCTGTGTAAAGGAGAGAATGCAGTAGGTTCTTATTAAAATTGGTCAAATTGCCTCTTTGGTTTATGTGCTATCGCTTTCCATTCCAGGTGATCAGCTTCTTCAGCTCCCGGTTAGAGCAAGCTGGAGCTGAGTTGTCAGTGGAGCGAGTTCTGGAAATCATCAAACAAGGAGCTGTCGCGTTGCCCAAAGATAGGCTAAGGGTAAGTGATGGGAAAGGCTCAGTCAATTAAAATGGAGTGTTCTGATCCATCACACACACGCCGTTTATTTAATATGTTAAAATGTTGTCTTTCCATTACATTCAGGTCTTAAGGCACTGCCTTACGGACCATAATACAGATGCATTTTAAATTAAAACACCTCATTAATTTGGCACAAAAGGCTGTGCGCAAAAGGTGGGGTTTTCCTTAATTATATTTTTTTATTTGTTACTGAATTTTGGAGCCTAGTTTCTCTAGAACAAAAATCTAGAGTGGGGCTTTCCTCATTATGCCTCCAGGAGTCAATTTTTCCCCTCTTGTCACAGTGTTAAACTGTCAGGCCCTTATCTTTTCTTATCTTGGCTTTAGCACCCTCCTTCTCTGACCTTCCAGACAACTAGTCTGTTGCAAACACTGTTAGGATCACTTTCCTGGCTTCTCATTCTGGAGCAGAAGCAAAATGGCGTAGTGAAAATGAATCCAGGACTTTGGAAGCCCAATCATTATCCGACCACTGATTTCCTGTACCACTCTGGGCAAGCCATTTAAAATCTTCCCTACATTCCTGTTCACCCTCTGTACAATAGGGATAACAGTTCATCCCTGCCTTTCAGGGTTGTTGTGAAGATTAAATCCATTAAGTGGGGTGCAGTTCTCAGGTACCACTATAATGAGGGCCTTAGGAGTATCTCGATAGATAAACGGGACTCACATTTATAGATTCATAGATTAAGGGTCAGAAGGGACCTAGTAGATCTTCTAGCCCGACCCCCCGCCAGGGCGGGAGAACAACAAAAAAACCCCAGAAAGAGAAACGGGACTCAAATGAGTCCAGCCAGGTAGGCATCCAGCCTCTTCTTAAAGACCCCCAGGGTAGGGGCCAGCACCACTTCCCTTGGAAGTTGGTTCCAGCTCCTAGCCGCCCTAACTGTGAAGTAGTTCTTGCGGATGTCCAATCTATACCTCCTCTCCATCAACTTGTGCCCATTGCTCCTTGTTATGCTAGCGGGCGCCAGGGGAAACAGCGTCTCCCCCAAACCCTTCTGGTCCCCCCTAGTGAGTTTATAGACGGTCACCAGGACCCCCCTCAGCCTTCTCTTGTGGAGGCTGAATAGGTTCAGGTCCCGCAGTCTCTCACTGTAGGGTCTGCCCTGTTGTCCCCGGATCATGCGGGTGGCCCTCCTCTGGAGCCTCTCCATGTTGTCCACATCCCTCTTGAAATGGGGCGCACAGAACTGGACACAATACTCCAGCTGTGGCCTGACCAGAGTTGCGTAGAGGGGGAGGATCACCTCCTTTTTGTAGTAGTTAATGTCTTCCAGCTTCCCTTTCTCTGCTATGTCAGATGTTCACCGTAATCCTTAACCTCTAAGGCTCTTCACAACCCAACCCATTCCTTGCTCTCCATTTTGACATGTTGTTCCTCCCACTGCGGTTCCACCACCAATGCTGCTTCTCTCACCCGTTTGCCTGCTTCTTGCTATATCACTGTTGTATTTACTTTCTGACACAGGAACTTCTTCCCCAGTGGGCATGTCTACACATGCTATTAATTTGCATTAGGCTTACTGCACAATAAAGCCCTCTGCCAGATGGAGCTTCCTGGCCCAGCAGGAGGTTCACTGGGAGCTGTTTCAGGTGTGGGGCTGCTGCTGGTAAGCCTCCTGCCAGGTGGGGGCTTGCTGGCGGCTGCCCTGCTTGGGTTCCCAGCCTGGCTACCCCCGGAGCAGTTCTGCGCAGCGTGAATCTGGCTGCTCTGGGGTATGGCAGTGGCTGTGAACCGCAGGGGCTGGACAGGTAGCGGCCATGCAGAGCTGCTCTGGGGGCGTAGGTTGGGGACTAGATTATCAGTCTCTGCCCATCCTCCGAAGCAGCCAGCTTCATGCTGGGAGCTGGGACAGGGGGCAGAGAGCTCCCCAGTTCCAGCACTGATCAGCTCCTGAGGAGAGCCAGGAACTGAGCAGCACCAGGTTTGGGGACAGAGGGCTCCCTGTCTCCCATGGCCCCCTGCTACCTAGGCTGACTGGGAGCAAATTTGCTCCTAGTTAGCATCTACATGAGCATTACTGTGCAGTAACTGCTGTGCAGTTCATCTAATACCTGTATTTACAGGTACTAGCCAACTGCGCAGTACTCTGCTTTACTGCTCAGTAGATGTCCTGCACATGTAGACAGTGATGCTTTCCTGTACAGTAGATTAATCCACTGTGCAGTAAAGTGTCTTGTGTAGACATGCCCAGCGTCAGTAAAGACACTGCATTATTTTCCTCCTGATTCGTCTATAAGACCCACTTCCATTGATGCCTCCAGGAAATTTTCAGGCGATAGATAGGACATGGGCAGGGTCTGGGTGGACGCTGATGACTACTGATATTTAAGTGCTCTCTGAGAAGAGGTAGGTGTGCATGGAGCCAAGCTGTGTAAGCATGTATTTTTATTCTACTTTTCTCTGTCTTCCCTCCCTGACTTGTTGCAGCCACATGTGTCTTATCTAGACAAGAGTGTAAATTCTTTGGGGCAGGAAGCTTTCATAGCCTGGATTGTTCAGTGTCCCAATCCTAAATGGGCCTTCAAGGTGGTATTGTAATAGCATAAATTCATAGAATCATAGAAAAGTGGGCTGGAAATGACCTTCAGAGGTCATCTAGTCCAACCCCCTGCCTGTCCAAAGCATCATATACAAATCCATGGTCTCTCGTCTTAGCAAAACTACTCAGTCAACCCTGACACAAAACCCAAAATATTACACCCTAACCTGCCACAAATATGTGGGGGGGACCATGGCATCCAGCACCCTGCTGCTGCAAAGATTGTTAATATATACTGGAGAGATCCCAGGAAGAGGGCCACATGCCCACTACAGAGGAAGGCAAAAACCCCAACAGTCTGTACTAATCTGACCATGGAGGAAGATTCTTTCCAGACCCCAAATATGGCAGTTGGTCTTATCCTGAGCACAGGGGCAAGACTGTCTAGCCAAAAAACTTTGGGTTTAAGTTAAAGGAGTTCCTCACTTTAAGTCTGCTGCCAAGGCTGCTAGATCATGGCCTCCCTAGCTTGGGGTTTGAGCTGTACTGTGATCTTGTGACAGTGCCACAGTGACCTGTGTACAAAGACAACAAAGAAGGAAATATCTTTTGAATTACTGCAGTTCCATGTGTTGAACTGTCAGAGAGAAAGCACTCTTGTACAGATAATGGAAGGCTTCAGCTAGCTGAATATTCTTGTCATTTTAGAGTTGGATTCATAAAAACATAGGACTAAAAGAGGCTTCCTGCCTAATCAGGTCAAGTTCCCTGCCATGGCAGGCCCCATATTATATAATCCCTGTTACAAACTATTGAATTCCATTTAAAAGTTAGGTGTTTTCCCCTCACTACTGGAGTTGGAAGGTTGCTTCAAAATGTGGTGGTTAGACATCGTCAGGGATCCTGGTTTTCTTTGTTTAAAAAATCCAAAATTCCCTGCTTAAAAAAACCCTAAGATTTGCGGTCTTCCATGTTAAAAATGAAATGCCACTATATATATATAGGTATCAGCTGAACACAATGTTTTATTGATATATTTACAATTTTAAAGCAGTTTGGAGGCCTACCAGTGCCTCAGTCGTTATAGTAAATAAATTCTAAATACCTTTATATTTTGGCATTTGATTTTGTTTTCGATCATGGAATATCAGAGCTTCCCCTGCCCCCTTTGCTCACCAGGGCACAGGTCCAGGTGCAGCTGTCCCCTCCACTGCTTTGTGGTGCTGAGCAGCCCTGGTATGCCAGTGTCCTGCCCCTGCCCATACCATTGCCCCTCACTCCCAACCCACAGCCCCCCTTACCCCAACTCTGCTGGTTCCCCTCCTGACCCACAGCCCCCTTCCCCAGGCCTCAGCTCCCCAGTGTGTGGGGCACAGGGTGTGTAGACATAAGCAACACTGTAGGCAACAGGTTGTGGGACCTGGGGTGGAGGGGGGGCTCATGCCTCCCAGATTTCTGTACCCCTAGCAGAGCACAGGGCTGTAGCCTGCCTAGACTGGAACTGAGCAGGTGCTGCCTCTGTGACTCAGCAGGACCTGGCACAGAAAGGTGGGGTGGGGAGGCTGCCGCCACTGCTGGGAGCGATGTGTTGCCATGGCTGCTAAGGTGAGGCGCCCACTACCCACTGCTGCAGTGCAGGGGCACAACTCTGCTTCTGGCAACGGCAGCTGCACTGAGCCTCTCCTCCCCACACTGCCCTCCTGCACCAGGTACCACTGGCTGTGCTGTGGAGGCAGCAGCTGCTGCCCAGTGCCAGTCCAGCCAGGCTGCAGCTCTGTGCCCTGCTGTGGGGACAGATATCTGTGGGGGGGCACATGCCCCCTCATGCCTCCCTGACACATCGCCTATGGGCCCAACCCCTCCCAGTGAGTGTACATAGCGGTGGGGAGCTGCTTTCCTCCCCCAGCTGCCCTTGGCTTCATCCCAGTCCCTGGCTGGGCCCTGCATTACCACCTGCTCCAGCCCTGACTCTGGACACCACACACTGCTCTGGCTGGGCAGCACCCCCAGCTGCCATTCCTGCCCCACTCCCTCCCTTGCCAAGTGGGTTTGGTGGGAGCTGCTACCATCACCTCAGTCTTCCCACAAGTTGTGTTCCACACTGCCCTCCCATATGTCGCCTATGGCTTCCTGCCCCTCTACCCCCCCATTTGTCACCTATGCCCTGTCCCCCTGTAGACTTACCTGCAGGGAGCTCTGGGAGCTGCTCTCCTACCACACGGCTTAGCTGTAACATCTGTGTGCGTGCCCATGCACACAGTGCCCCTGCCTCTGGTGCCCTCCTACTCCTCCCTGCCCCTTGCAGGCTGGAATTCTGCCAGGCTGCAAGGGGAAACCCACAGTTTCCCACGATTTTCTCCTTTAAAGGAGCAAATCAACATTTTTCCATGGGAAACAGGAAACTCAGATCCCGAGAAATCATCTTCTACCTTCCAGTTTCTAACATCTAGCCTAAATTTATTCACAGGCAAT